CGGGGTGTGCATCGCCGGGCGGCCCCGCCTGGCACGGCTGCACCGGCCGCTGCTCCAGCCCCTCTCCTCCTCCTCCCCACACCTCCTTGCTCTGTCCTTTCGCTCTGAAACACCAAATGTGTTTCATTTTAAAGTTTTTGTGTGTGTGTGTGTGTGGGAAAGACGCCGTTCAAAGGGCGCGCGGCAGCTCCGGGTACCGCGTGCTGGGGCTTGGCAAGTGAAGTGTGTCATCAGTAACCCATTTATTTTAGACGATCCAGACCTGAAAGATATTGACCCCACGGTATTAAAACATTGCCATGCTGCGGCTGCAACGTGTATTCTGGAGGCAGGGAAGCAGAGAGCCGACATATCTGCTCTAAGGTACCAGTGCTCTGAAGCTGCCCCGTTTGCTTTAAGCTGTGCTGCTGAGCCAATGTTAACAGAAAACTGACACGTTCTTTTTCCCCTCCAGCACTTGTCTAGAAGACTGTAAACTGGATAAAGAGAGAATAGAACAGTTTTGCACCGAATATCAGGTTTTAAAACAAATCTTAATATATTTGTGTTTTCTATCTCTCATAGGATTTTTTTTAACCTAATTTTTTTTTTTTTTTTAAATTGTATTTTTCTTTCTCCAGAAAAACAAGGATGCATTGGAAACACTATTGGGAAGGTAGGTCTGTCAGCACAGATACATATTTTCAATTGCAGATACTTAGAAACTGTCCTGGAAAATACATATGCATACTGTAAGTGATCAAAATGAAGAAATACTGTTAATTAAAAAAAAAAATAAAATCCTTTTACATTTCTAAACTTCAGAAAACAGCTTTTCAAACTTGTTTTCCTCCTTTCCAAACTCTACTCTTAAGAAACTTTTTGAGCTCTTCAATAAGCTTTACAAGCATCATGAAAAGTTCTTTACGGACAACTTAAGAAAATGACATTTTCTTTAAGAGTAGGAAACCTGTAATTGTTGTGTCTTTCAGCATAGGCAGATCTCCCCTCCATATAACTGATGTGTCTTGGCGCTTGGAATATCAGATCAAGGTAATTTTAACACATCAAGATGTTTCTTTTGTCTGTTTCAGTGCTGAGACCTGACCTTTTTCTATGTTCTTTGTTTTTAATTTAGAGCAATCAACTTCATAAAACTTACCAGCCTTCCTACTTAGTGACCTTAAACATAGAGGTACTGTACTCCCAGCACCCTCAGAGCAAAAAATGCAATTTCATTATTTAAAAAAATAAAACAGGCAATATCGTTTTGAGGTTTTTTGTGTTCTTTTTTGTTTCCTTCAGAACAGTGATTCAGGATCACACCCAGATGTTAGTTTTAGTTGCACGATGGAGCAATTACAGGTATTTCTTCCCTTCATCATTGTTTCTGTGCTTGGCTTTAGGTATGGATGTAAATGTTTTTAACAACTTGCTGGTCAAAATGAAATCCTTTTTTTATTAGTATATATATGTAAAAAATGCAGGACTGGGAGGGTAGGGTAGAGTCCTCTATAAAAATTATTCAAGTGTATTTTTCCTGTCTTCTCAAATAAAGTTGCAAAGTAGCAGATTTTAGTTGCATGGGAAGTGTTTTACATGCATGCATAAATATTTTGTCTGATTTCATAACTGTATATATATGGGAGGAAATACATCATTTTTCTCAAACTCTAGTTTCCTGTGCTTGAGAGGAATTATTAAAGAAGCTGGTTCAGTAGTTTAAATGTGTTGTGATTAAAAATAGAGAACAAACTGAAGGCTCTCCAGTGGTGTTAATGACATGTAAGAAATGTACTGAAACAAAGGTGAATCTTTGTTTAGTGATTTAAATGTGTAACAGAACAATAGAGGTATTGTAATGCTTGGAAGTGACCAAACTGTGGAGGTCTGGGAAGAGGAGATGGGGGGGAGAGGAAAAGCAAGATATTAAAACTTCAGGTTTGCACCTCTGCTTTTTCCATGTGTGTCTCAAAAGTCATCCTTTTCTTACTAATAAGTGTTTTTTAATCAGTTTGCTGACTTAGTTAAATTTGACTTGCTGGGGATTGGTCCTAATAAAAAACCACACTCAAAATCTCTTCAGTATTTTGGAAATGCATGTGGTACTTCAAAGCCTAGGGCAAATGTCAGCATCGTGATGATACCGATCATATCTCCTAATAGTAGTGATCTGTTTTAAAAGATAATGCATGTTAAATTATTATTTCCTTCAGTTCCCACTTTTCTTACTAAATAGGGAGCTGTTTTAATGACTTGCTGGCATTGTTCATAAGTTGCAACATTTCTTTGTGGTACAAGGTGCTGGTTTCCCCTGCCTCTGTGTATATATAAAAAATTACGTTTCTCTAGCAACGTTTTAAAAATATGTTTATTCTAAGGCAGTGTTTCATCTCTTAGGATTTAGTTGGAAAACTAAAAGATGCTGCAAAAAGTCTAGAAAGAGCGACTCAGATGTGATGGAAGAAAGGTGTCAGCCTGCTGAGCTGAAGTGCTCTGATTCCTAGGAGTGTCTTCTAAATGACAAATGTCTTTCATCTCTTGGAGCAAACTGTTCTTTTTTTTTTTTTTTTTAAGTACTTGGATGCGAATTAAGTGAAATAACTTTTTTATTACCTTCGTATTCCTTGCTTATGTAATTTTTTTATTATTATTAACTCTCGTTAAATATTTGCTTAACAGTTGTGTCTTCAAAGCATTCCTTCTATTTTATTTTTTGTATTTTTAGACAAGTCGCTGATTTATTTTTTTTCTGGATCTAATAAAGTTTATTCTCTCCTGTTCTGCAATTTCTATGTGTGAATTAGCTGTGCCTAAAAGCTGCCGAAAGTTAGATCAGCTCCCGTGCTGCGGTGCGGTGGCTCATTTGCCCACCGCGCTGTTATTTCACTCTAATTGATCTTACATCTTCTCTAAGACTGAAGGTTGGTCCCCGGCGCGGGAGGCGCGAAGGATTTCTATTTTAAAACTGTTCTAGAGCCGGGGCTCCCCGCGGGAAGCCGGGGGTCCGC